GTTAAAGGCGATGGTGCCGCCAAAAATATATATCAGTTTTGAAAATTCTGTGGGGAATACGGACTTCGCTGTCTACCGACGAATCATTATATATATATATATATATATGTATATATATATATTTAATCACTTAACTAGTAACAGTAAGATCGCAGATTTATGTAGCGCATGTATGGGATTGATGAGGCAAAATAAGAGACTAAAATCAGTAGCATATTGTCTGACAACATGTGTCTGCCATCGAGCGTGACTTTCGCTCATGTTCGAAAGCGTTTCAACTACGCGTGCTCGTAGCTCTTATGCTCCAAACCGGGAGTCGGGAGGGCCACATGGTGGTGGCGGTTACCTCCGTGACAATTTACACAGATTTCATACCTTGGTGAACCTCCTGTCGCCTTCGGTCTATGTCATCGTTCACACGGAGCACGACAAACTAATCTTTTAGCGTGCATGCGTTGAACCTACTCAAGATGCTCAAGCAAGTACAGGGGATTTACATGACTCCACTGTTGGTACATTCTGTGTAACTTGAAACGTTATAGAAGAACTCCATTACTGCGGAGCTGATGTTGCCATCAGACACCAGCAGTGCTCCGAAGAGAGCGGTGGCCAAAACAGATGGCCTGTGAACATGGTTTCGGAGATAGTTGGGAACAATCGGTTGACGTGTTTGTTCGGTAACGTTTTGCTTTTGTGGAAAAGCTTCATCAAAGTAGAGGAATTACTACATGGTTTGTGTGACATCTCATAGCGAACGATAACGATGATGGTGAGGAACTAAACCTGAGCCAAAGGCCTATTGCTAAGACAGGCCTAAATGGTAAATCAAGTGGTCCAATCAGGTTGGGGGTTGTTCCAATGGTACCTACTTACGGTCTTGATGACAGCGTTTGTGATATCGACTTTACTATTGAACTTGATCCACATATCAACGCTCCTCAGACTGGCGGGACTAAGACTGTTTGCCATATAGTTGATTTCTCCGTATCCTCCATTCTATTCAAGCAGCTGTTCACTTTGGATATTTCGACCTCCTCAGTAATTAACCATTGGGGCGTTGCGAGCAAGTTCTTCCGACGTTCACGACATTAGCTAAATCGATCCCATTTCCGGTGCGTAGCGCATGCACCGCAACGGTGGAATCTGTTAACAGCGCTCTGTATTCTAACCGGTTACCGTGTGGATGGACAATCCGCCTTTCGTGTTCTAGGCTTGTGTTCATAGCTCTCACTGTTTGACTAATACGTAGGCGTTCAGGGTCTTTACAGTAAATTTCGGACACACATCTGGCTGTCTCATCCGTAGGAAGTGAACACATCAAACTAGTTATTTCTATATCACTTCGAAACTGACTCGTCAGTCGGTTCCAATTATGATCCAAGACTTGTGTTTCTCTTTTGAATGAAGCACTGTAGACTCAGCGTTTCAAGGAGTGTATAAATTTGTATCGGTGCCAAATCTTGCCTTTGTGTCTAACTTCAGCAATAAGCTAGCTTTACGACAATCAAAAAGGCGATAAGACTAACAGGTAGGGATTTCCATTGAGTTTTCACTGATCATGTTTTGTACTCTTACTACGATCATACCCGTGCAGGCGAGCCTCGCATAGTCGAGAATAAACATTTTATTTATTTATTTATTTATGGGCACAGGCAGCGTCGATTTGCGGTGGTCGGTCAGGCAGAAACGATCGATAGTTTCATATTCATTGAGCTCAGGCCACCGTCACCTGTCTTGTAGCCGATGCGTATTCGATGTGTTCTCACTCCGTTTCTCTGGAGCGTTGACAGCGGTTGGAGATTAAGGAAATATTCCGACTTTTTGATATTTGCAAGAAGACTTCAATTGTTAAACCACCAACGTTAAGCGAACTGTCAGGATTAAAAAAAGTTGCCGACTGCCTCCGGAGAGTTATTCAAAAGCGTGAGAGCAGCCCTTAAACTAGGGGTGTCCAAACTTTTCTCAAGGAGGGCCACATTTTGCGATGTAAAAATATCAGTCTGACATTAAGATAATGATCAAAAATGACACATGCTGTAAATTTTTTTTACTGTTTTAATGTGAAGATGGAAACCGATATGTTGACTGCAGAAAACTGTCCAAGTCAGGCTTAATGACAGTGAATTTCATACAAAAGATATCACGTAGGTGAGAATCACTTAACCTCTTCCTCACACCGTTCTTATTAAAATCCAAAACTCAGCATGTCTGCTCACACGAGTATGTCAAGCCAAATAAGCTATGCATTTTGTTAGCAAATGTGCGAATCTCTGTCGGATTCTTTCTTAATCCAGCTGACGGCAAACGTCGATGAGGGAGAGCTGTTCGTGCCGATTACGACATGCAACATCACTTTGCAACTCAATGAGATCCAGTTGCAGGTGGCCTGGAACGATGTCAGGGTCCACAGGGAAAAAAGTCCGATCTCATGTGCAATGGCAGTAAACACCTGAAAGCGCCTTTGAAACTGATCAGCTTGCGATACAATGTTTGTAACAGTATGCACTTGTGCATTGATGTTGATTTCTGGAAAACTTGTCATGGTTACCTGTAGTGGTGAAAATTGTATGGTATTAGGCTGCGTTTGAGACAGTTGTCTTTGGAAAAGTTTCAGCTTATTCCCAAAGGCTGTGTGAATCAACTGGCTTACCAACGCATTTTGACACTAAAGTTTCGTGTTCAACATTTTAAGATGATGTGTTATATCAACTAAAAATCCAAAATCAGTCAGTCAACCACAATCAAAAAGCTTGAGATCGATTATTCCTTATTCTCCATTAAACTTTGGATTCCTTTTTTAATAGAGTAGACTTGGTGAACTGCAGTCCGACGACATCATTGTGATACGCAACATCTTCGTATTCAACCTGGATGCGGAGTAGAAACTGCTGAACCTGACGACAAAGCAGAGCATTAGAGCGAAGATAGTAGGTAGCTTTTATCACTGGCTTCATAACAGGATCACACCCAAGATGTTTGGCACAAATACTT